TTCCTTCTAATAGGGATGTGTAAATTCAGTGACTATTATGATAAATAGTTTATATTGTAGCAAAAAAGCATTTTTATTTATTAATAACTTATTTTAAAATATTAACAATTAATTCATAATTAATTATGATAAATAAAAACCAAATTAAATAAGAAATTAAAAGAATCCTTACAAACCCTCTCATTGTAGAAAAGCCCCTAAAATACATTTGTATAGGATAGAGGTTCATATTTAATATATAATAATTTATTAAATTTATAATAAATTCATAGTGAAAAAACTTGACAGATAATATAGAAAAAATTTATATTTATCTTTTTCTTTTAATTTTTAAAATTAAGTAACTTTTTAAATATAAAAATTAACAAATATAAATAATGTTATATTAAGAAAAAAAAATGAATATATTTATTAATTTGTATAAAAATATTTTTATATAATATGTCTATTTGTTTCCGTTCTTTTTTCTATTTATCCAAACAAATGGAGAGAAATTTCTCTGCTCATTTCCTTCTAATTTCTATCCATCCAAACAATACATCTTTTCCGCCTCACTTCTTTTTTATTTTTATTATTTCTCTTTTCTCCTTCCTATTTCTTTCCTCTCTATTTCACACCTCTAATCCATATAATAACCAGAATTCAGCTTCGGGTATGAGTAAGGAATTTACAAATCTTCCAAAGCATGGAAAACAATGATTAATGATTAACACTTTTTGTTAAGGAGCATTCAATTCTAGAGACTATGCAACTGACCTTCTCGATTCTGTATAATATAGACATCAAGAGTCCCCTCAATGTGATAGATATAGCACAAGTCATGGACTAACTCTCCAAAAAGCTCGAGCTAAAAAATGAAGGCTTGTGATTGGTTTTGCATCTAACACACCGCCTTGCACAAAAAAGCGGACTTGTAGTGTGTCCAATGCACGCTACCATGTGCAAGAAATCAATTTTACTAAGAAAGATGGGGGTGACAAGGATTGAACTCATAACCAATTATTCATAAAATCTCTTCCACCGTGTTGGGAGAGCCCAAATGCTAGAAAAAAGTGTTCCAATGGACGTGGTCCACTTTTCATGTATCTACCAACATGTTACAACTATTCTTCAAACCAAGTCACGTCTTCTACAACGTCACGGCTCATCATTGGACTATGACCAGTCCACCACCACATCACGGCTAATACCACCATTTCTCCAATATTTATACCACCAAACCAATGGCTCTGATATTTTGTCATGAATCAACTCCCGTAAGAGTTTAAACTAATATGTGAGAGCACATAATTGGTTTTGTATCTAGCAATATACATTAGCTAGTTGATTCTCTCTATTACAGCATCTATATTTATAACAATCGATAGTTGGATTCTTGCTGCCTCCATTCTTCTAATTAAGCTATATTTTAAACACAGTATGTGTGAGCCTTAAATTTGCTGATGGTTAAAAAGCCTTTGCATGAGGGCGCATGTTAGGGGAATAAAGAATTCATAGGGCTAAATCTTAAATATTCAAGCTTTCAGGGTAGCAAATCCTTGACATAATACGTTTTGACAGTAACACATTCAGAACATATATAGATACACTACTGATGGTGAAAACTAACATAGTGGAAATAAATTATAGTAGACGGGTTAAACAGTTCAGCAATAAATAATGAGGGCCTCTTCCTCATACTATTTACTGTAGGTCAATAGAAAAAGGAAAGGAAAGAAAAGAAAAACTAACAGTGGACCAGCTCAAACTTTAAAATAGGTTGTAAACCTCCTATTCTGAAGTTTCATATATACAAAAGGAGAGAATTTGAAGGAGATAATCATTTCAACCACAAAACTTATAGTTGATTGTGAAATGTTTAGGAACTAGAAAGAGTAGAGGATCATGAGCCAAGTTTACATACCCTCAGATTGATGATAGCAACTCTATTGACTGGTGCATTTAGCTGTTGACTGATGTAAGCCATAGACCTCAACATAGGCTCCAAAGTGATCCGTGTTACCCTAAATTGCACTTCTGTCTCTCCTAAAGGCCCCTTGCCATAATCTTGCAGCTACAAGAGGGAGAAAAACTTAATTAACAGTTAGAAAAGAATGATTCTGCAGCTTGTACATGTTATCCACAGTTACACGTAGAAAATAATATGGTAAATGAAATAACCTAGATTGTTAATATATTTCAGCAAAAAACATGAATCCTAAATGGAGGAGAGAGACTGATCTATTCTCTTCCAATACAGAGCACATTGAAGCCACATTAAATTTAATCAGAGTATCAGACCAAAGAGATATCTGTTTATATCGATAAAAAAATAAAAATAAAAAGATGTGAAGACTGCAACTCAGAAGAGAATAAAAGTTATAGCTTGCAGGCATACAAAGCACCTATATACATACCTTCATGTTGATGACTGCTATTTTACTGGATGGGCTTGAATTCTTATTTTCAATAATCCAAGTCATAGACTTGAAACAAGTAAGGACAACCTGCATCAACAAATGATAGTCAATGAAAGCATTGACCAGCATATCTGAACAGAATAAACTAATGATTACAAGGGTGATTCAGATCAATACAGTGCTATCTGGAGGGCCACTATCCCGGTGAATAGAAACAGGAGTCATATTAGGGTGATTCAGATCAGTAACAGGAAGCCCAAGGTCATTAAGATTGAAATGATGAGACACTGAATCTTGCCAAGGCCATAATGATGGAATAACTTCAGAAATTGATGAAGGGCTCTTCTTGCTGTTGTATTCCTGACAGCTTCCATTACCCTGAGTGTTACGAGGTGTGACTTTCACAACATTTTTCTTCATACTACCTACCCTTTTAGCACCCTCTCTAAAAGCATTCATTGTAGCATTGTATGTCTCTACAGCAATTGCCCCTTCTTCAGCAAGTTTAATGGCTTCTCGACATAAACTATTAAAACGTATAGTGAGATTATCAATAACAAGTGGATCTGTTGTTTTTTCATCAATTCCAATACCAGATTTTGCATTTCTTGTCCATCGCTTCAAAATGTAGTGCGATGGAAGGGTAAGAACATTTGTTACAGTGAAGACAGTCAATATATGTCGACAAAGAATGCCTGAGTATTCAAACATCTGACAGCTGCAATTTGCCTTCATTTCAGAGATATTTAATGTGACCATGTACACCTTGTGATCATGTTCATATTTTGCAACCCTGTATTTACTGATCACACCATCATCCTCAACATTATTTGCAGTATATGCAAAAGTTTCCACCAGTTCCTCCTGAAATTTTGCAAAAATCTTCTTAGTGTACATATTTGCTGCCTGTTGTTCCATTGGTGATGGAGTCTTCAGTACAGGTGTGTTACAAATGGTTTCGTAATCTGCTTCTATTTCTTTATCCAATGAATGTTCCAGAGATCTTTCATACTGCTTAAAGAATAAAGGTATTGTTGTCTGTTGATTTACATAGCCATCAAAAAAGGAGCTAACCCCATGGCTTGAAGTAATTGCAGCAAAAAAAGTATCACGGAAGTAAACAGGGGCCCATTGTTTGCGAGCACTATACACTGCTTGAAGCCAATCATTTTTCTGGAGATCATATTTATCAAGAAGAGACTTCCATGTTGATTCAAAATCCTCAGTAGTCTCAGAAGAATTGATACAGCTATAAAGATCCCCATAGAATGAAGGATGAGCAAGGTAAATATGAGCCAATCTTTCTTGACCTTCTCTCAAAATGTGCCACTTACAAATACAGTGCCGAGTTTCTGGAAACACCTGAGCAACAGCTGCTTGTATGGCTCTGTCTTGGTCTGTGGTTATGGAAACAGGTGGTTGATCATTCATAGCAGAGAGCCAGGTCCTGAACAACCAAGTAAAGGAAGACTCAGATTCATCTAGAAGTAATGCACAACCAAATAAAACCATCTGGCCATGATGATTGAATCCTGCAAATGGAGCAAATGGTACTTGGTATTGATTTGGTCTATACATTGTGTCAAAAATTACAGCATCACCAAAGTAATTATAAGCTGTTCTTGACCTTACATCAGCCCAAAATACATTGGTCATGCGGTTTTCATCATCTAGCTGTATTGCATAATAGAAGCCAGGGTTTTCTCCTTGCATCGTCTTAAAATAATTCAGCAGATTTTGAGCATCTCTTCCAAGGGTCCGCTTTCGAGAAGATCTTCCATAGGTAAGAGACCCAATGTTTCTCATTGGATGACTTTTTTCTAGTGCAGAGGAGCTCCTAACTGAATTAATTGGTTCTAAATGATTGCCATTCCTGGAAACATAAGAATCATTACCGGCATCAAATGCCCCTGTAACATTTCTTGTAGCACCTACAAAATGCCTATGGGGTTGAAGGTATTGCACCTTTTTAGAGGAAGCCAGGGAATGGTTGTGGTCCTCAACAAATTTAGTCACTAACCAGTTTGCATCTTTACTCTCTACCCTAAGCATTGCATTGCAACTAACAATGTTCTTTCTTTTAATTACCTCCCTAGAACAAGCAAAGTCCCAAAGTATGATTGGACCATCAGGCTTAGCACGACTGAATTGACCAACATGTGTGCTAAATCCTACATGTCTTGCATATGCATCATAAAATGATTTTGCAGCATCTTCAGATTCAAACAGCATGCCCAATTGCGGTTTCCTATATGCATCACCATCCAGATTATTTACTTCCCTTTCAGCCAAGTTTACAGTCGTATTTTGTTCCTGGCTGTTTTCAGTTTCAACATTTTCAGAAGCAGGTCTATCACTGTTTTCCCCTTCATCTACTGCCTCAACATCCATGATAGGGTAGCTTATGATAAGAGCACTTCAATGGTTTTCCTTGAAAGGACTAGAAAACATGACTTGTGCTAAACCTTTTGAAGCAATCTGCATTATCTCTACCTACAAAATGAATTGAATAAGAACATCATGTCAGTAAAGATATATGATTATGTACTTACGAAGTAATTTTGAAATTCTAGAACCCAGAAGGTCAAAGGAAATTCCAAAAGTTTAAAATGCTAAAATCACCAATACTATAAACCAAGAGATATTAACAGATCCTACTGCATGAAAATGCTAGTTTATTCTAACCTAGAAGGTGTGGTTGTTGGAAGCTTGGATAAAGTAAGTGAAGACATTTGTGTGTTTTGATCAAAGACCCACAAAAATCAATTTTTTGATAAATATTAGAGAAAATTGATAATTTTATCTTCAGGAAGCCTTGATTGAAACTAGTGAAGCATTTCTCATGGAAAAATCAAATTGAAGTTAGCATATAATGAAATCAAATTTCTTTTCATTTGAAAAAATAATTGTACTCAAAATAGTTCACACATTAATGTTAGAAGTTTCTACAAGTACAAATCTGTTCTTCTATAATAGGAGCAACAGCCATCGAGTTGGAAAGTTGGTTATTAAGGAATATAATAATAATCTAAAGTCTAACAAGTGACAAAGTTCTAATTAAATTAAAAAAATTTCACAACATAAAGCCACAAAAAAAAGTTACTACAGGATTATTAAACCATAAATTAACAAACTGCAAGATTCCTTAGAAAATTTGCTCATGACAATAATTTCATATTAAACCATGCGGAACTTTCAGCTACAGTGTTGAAATTAGACTCGGGAATAATCTAGACCATCTTTGCATTGATGAAAGAAAATGTTAATCACATAAAAACCTATAATTTATAAAGTAAATGCTTACACCAATGGTTAGAGACAGTTTTTCAGAACACGTGTCCATTGTTGCTTCAAAAAAAATACACAAACTCTTCAATAATTCAATTCAATAACCTATTTTCTTCATCTACAACAACCATTTAATCACTTAAAAAGCTACAGTGTGCAAAGTACATACTTCCACCAATGATTAGAGTCAGTTTTTCAGATCACCTGCCTATTGTTGCTTCAAAATATATATAGGTAAACCATTCAATTCAATGACCTTTTCTTTCTCTTCATCTTCATTCTTCAATAAAACTACACAATGAAAATATCACATTATCTCCAATAAATACAACACTTTCACTACAAATACTGACCCAAATCATTTTTACACTTTTACAATTCCCAAACAGCATTGCCATTTCAACCCATTCATAGTGATTTGATTCTAGGATTTTCCAAAAGTGCAAGTTTAAAAAAAATGATAATTGTTACATTACAATAAATAAATAAATTCACTCCCAAAATCCAAATTTATTCGCATAATTATATGTTGTAAATGAACAGAAAGCAAAATTCACTCACCTGAGGACCAAAAGAAAGAGCTAGATTGAGCCAGAGATTGTGAGTGGAATCAAAACGCAGCGTTTTGGTTCAGAAAGCTTTCGTGTTGGTGATTAGGGATTTTGAGTTAAGAGGAAGAAGAGTTTGAATTTCACCGTAGAAGAGTGGGACTATCCAAAAAGCCAGAAACAAACGCTCTTGTAATTCCCACATTTCCTTCTACTTCACAGTTCACACTCACATTTTCCTTTGTCTTTCTTTTAATTTTAATTAATTTTTATTGAAGCTTAATTTTCATCCACATCACGTCCAAATTCTTTTCTTATTTTTTTATTCATGATCTTATTTTTTATTTTCTTATCAAATTTATGTTTTTTTATTTATAACTAGTGAATTTGTATATTTTATTTAATAAAAGTGTCAAAAAAAAAATCTATTGTAAAGTTATCAAATTTTAAAATATTAAATTTGATTAAATTTTATATTTGTAAAAATAATTAATTTTTAATATTATTTTTTATTATTTAAAAATTTAAGGAAAAATCATCTAAAGAAAAGGTGAAGACCAATTCATTATATATGTTATAGATTTAGCATGTCTCTCTCTAAATTAAAATTTAAAAACAAAATTTATGCCATGGTATATATTTAACTTATATAACTAAAATTAATAATAAATATTTTTAATATATAAACCATATTACATTAATGTCGTTCCTTCTTTTAAATATATATACATATATAATAATAAGTTTTGAAAAATTCACATTTAATTGAAAGTTATTGAGCAATATAATAGTTAGTAAAAGTTATACTAATGTCGTTATTCCTTTTAAATAAACATATATATATATATATATATATATTGCCTTCGGCCTATGCCTTGGTCGAAGAGTTCTCAAGTGTTCACAGAGGAAGATGTTGATCAAGCTTAAGATGAAGGCATATTGTATTTAGTTTTGATAATAACAAATATAAGCCTTTTGAGTGATAAGAGTGCAAATTGTATCTTGTTATTTGCTTATGTTTTGTTGCATGTGTGTTTTGTGCTCTATAGGTAACTTAGTTTTATATCTTCGATGTTGTTTGATGATGAAATTTTTTTTTAAAATGTTTTCTGCTTTAGGTTGTTCTTGATGTTGCTAAGCAACTGATGGAGGGCCATCCAAGGAGGATACATACTTGAAGACCATTGGATCTTTAACTAGATTCATGGTTAGGAGGTTGGAGGAGGCTTCAACAGAAGAGGCTTCAACAGAGGAGGTGTTGCTTGGACCTTTGCTCTTCATGGGCATTAAGTATGATTCCTCTTATTAGTCTCTTAGACTCCATTGTATATACATTGTATGATACTTGTACTTAGTAGTTACTTGTATAGGTGTATTTTGTCTTTGTATTTGTAAGGCACTTTCTTTCTTTTCTTATAGGTTATTCTTTAGGATTTTAGGGTATGTTACTTGGAGACTTTTGCTCCATTTTGTTGAGATTCATGGAGTGGTGAATCAACTCAAACTTGGAGAATGAAGGTGTACTATCCGTACCGCAAAGCCAAGCTCTAGCTCGGCATCACAGCGCAGGTCGACCTCGGACACGCGCTAGGCGACATCGGCCAAGACGAGGCCCGCTATCTAAATAGGTCATAACTGATCTCAAGCCCAAGGCCCAAGGAAACCCTAATTCACACAAAGGTACGCGTATTACTTATACGAGACCCATACACCCACAAACACTAACTTTAGCATCGGAGTCTCTTTTGCAGGTACCACCCCTACCTTGGAGCAGCAAGCGTATCAGTGAAGGAGCCTCACCAATCTTTCCCAGTAGATCATCCTCTACGACCGATCTCCGGTAAGAACATTTGGCGCCCACCGTGGGGCTGATCAAGACATCTTCTATCGACCATGCTTATGATTTTCACCCGAAGCCATAGTAGACGAGCAACGAATGACTTGGATCGCACAACAAGAATGGACAGTGAAGCAGCATTGAGAAGATTGATCGAACAAGTTGATCAAATGCGGCAACAACACGACGTCGACATAGACAACATTCGTGCCAAGCATCAAACTAACCTCGCGGCGCTGCGCACCGAGAATGAGCACATTCGCGACCAGCTTCCTCTGCGCCCTTCTGATCAACCCCCTCAACCGAGTAGCCTACACGAGGAAGAGGGACACTCGATTGTCGCAACCCGAAAATTTCCGATCTCGCAAAATATGGTTTAGACATCCTTTTAAAGATCTCATCAATTAAGGAATGCCCGGACGCCAGACTAATCCTTAATTAATGGTTTTGAAAAATGAGTTCATGGAGTCGCCACCAATGTTTTACTCAAAACATTGGAAAAAGAAAAGGTTTTTAAAAATCCAATAATGGCCTTGATAACCAGAATTGGGTTCGGGGGTAGGTTACGTGCAGGGAAGGTATTAAGCACTCATACGGCGCCCTCAATCGGTACCCTATGATGAAGTTAACGTGATGAGAATTAATAATTTAAATATTTAATCCTCTTTATTAACATATTTATTTACATGCTTGAAATTCAAATTATACAATTAACTCAAAAATGTCTACATGATTGCTTTTAATATAACAATATTTATCAAAGATGACAAAATATAATAGAGAGAAGATGATTGATTGAAATACCTCTTGAACGAGCCATATTGAATCTTCAAATATGAAGAAGGTGCTTTGTGGTGACCTTTCACACTACAATATGCCTCACAGATCTAAAGAAATACAATAGGAAGGAGAGAGAAGAAAGAGATGCGACACAAATCTCAAGAAATACAATAGAAGGGAGAGAGATAGAGAATTTTCGTGCTCAAAGGAGTCTTATTCGAAATTTCTCTGGCCGCCTTGAGAACTGTACCCGAGGCTTCTATTTATAGGAATCAGAAAGGGGCCAGAACGGCCTGTTCCGGATTCGGAACGACCCGTTCTGACCCAATTGTTATGTGCAAATTTCATACCCTAGAACGGCCCGTTCCAGAGTGGAAATTAACACAAAATTTTCCTTTCTAGAACGGCCCGTTCCAAATTTGACTTGTTTGGAGGTTAGAGAAGCAATTCGGTCAAAGAGAGGAGACTAGGCAATGTGGGCGGATTTGGTCTCTTTTGACTCCTTGAATTAATTTCAAAAATGTTTGATTTGGTTTAGTTAGGTTCATCCAATGATGATGAAACTTCTCTCTAGCTCGAATCTTCGTCAAGGAGCTCAAGACCGAATGGAATGGAGGCTTTAAGAGAGGAGGATTTTCAGAATGGAAGGAGGTTAAGCTTAGAAGGAAGTATCCAAGCTCAAGGATCAATGGAATGCTCACTTCAAAGAGAAGGAAGAAGATGAACTTCCTAGGGATTTTGAGGTGAACACTCAAGAAGACTTTGAAGAGGAAACTCGGCACAAGGCTCTCAAATTTCAGATAATGTTCAAAGTGAATACAAAAGGTGAAAGAAAGGCTTAAGTATGCTCGGAATTGTGACCCATAGGCGCCTAAACTAAAGCCTCACAAAATGGCGCCTAAAGTTTGAATTCAAATTTGAAATTTGAATTCAAACTTTGGTGCACATGTGTAAGTACGAAAATTTAGGTACCAAGGTGCATTTAGGTTTGATTTGAGAGTTATTTAGGGTTAATTTGAGTGGCACATGTTCAGCCACCCATGGTGCTAAACATGTGACTCAAATGTAACTTAAATGACTTCCAAATTAAACCTAATTTAACCTAATTAGCATACTTTAGTATTCCTTGTATTTTCCTATTCTAATGACCTAATTACATTGGTCAAACAATTACAATGGAAAGGAAAAATTACAAGAATGAAAATGAGCCCAATATTGGGTACCAAAAGCCCAAAGGCCCATGAAGCCCAAAACTAGGCCCAACAAGCCTAAAACCTAAAATGCTACTCTATGTGGTCCAAAATACAAGACCAAAATATATTCAAACTATGCTAACAAAAATATAATAAGAATGTTAAAAACAAGATAGGCCCATGTTGAAACTAAGTTTGGGCCTTCCAAGCCCATAGGGCCCATTGGGCCTTGACTGGCCCAATCTTCCATGTCTAGCCCACTCCTCTTGGATCTTTGAGTATGTCACCTCTTGCACTCCAAAGCATGATTCCATCATCCCCTCCCTCTTGAAAAGGATTTGTCCTCAAATCTCGAGGATGAATGGAAGAAAAATCAACACCTACATGTATAACATACGATGGATAAGAGATGAAAGTTTCATAAATCCTAAGAGGAGTCCTTCTATCTAGCCTAAGAAAGAAAAATAAACTGTCAAAATTAGACTCCCTAAAAATAGAAATAGGCTCCTCTTCTAAGCACAACCTAGAAGTAAAACCTAAAAATGTAAGAACACTATGACTAAGACAATGAAAAGAATGATTTTTAAACACTACAATATCTTGCCTAAAATACCCTAAATGGTAACCTAGACTTTTCCTAAAATATAAAGAAAAAACTACGAAAAAACGTCCTAAACAATTTTGGATTTGATTGTTTGTTAGATATTCATGATCATATAAACTATTTTTGTCTTGTAGGGAAGGAATCAAATTAAGTTTAATGGAATATTGACTTCCCCTAAGATCAAACGTAGAATATAGAACACTATAATTGGTATCCAACAAACAATATAACCCAAAAATTGAGTGCTTTAAATCCACAGAAATACTTTCTTCCTTGTGCACCACTAAGGAAGTAGTATAAGGAGTAAAACTAGAAATAGTTCCCTCCTTCTTCACTATATCTCGAAGTTCAGAATTCTTTTCTTGAAATTGATTTTGTTCCCTATTCACAACTTTGAGAT